TGTTAGAAAGTCACCCATTCAACGTTCAACACAACAAAATCAAAGATTAACCATTATATGGAAGGTATCCATCACAGATAGATTTAATTCTGTTTCATGGCACTCGATGTTGCTTTAAATCATATATTACAACAATACAATCAACAACAACGTAATACAACGCAGTTACAAACAACAGATAATCAATAAATCATGCAATAAACAGCAGGGCAGCATGTGTTAAAAAATCAGCAAGAAGATAAAAATGTATACTTTAAAATAAGATGCAATGTAGTTAAAGTGAATAGGCTAGTTTTAAATGATGGGTTTTAAGAGCAGTTTTAAAATCTGTAATCTTAGACAACAAAGTCAGTATATTTGTTGATCAGTTGGCCCACCACATTGATCCAGACTGAAATATCTTGATGAATTACCATTTTTATTGTAAAGACATTCATGGTGCCCGGATCATAAATCCTACTGACTTTGGTGATCACCTTTTCCTCCAACACCACCGTGAGGCCATCATTTGTTTTTGGTTTTTTAACAAATATTAGATCATTTATAATGTGTAAATGTGTTGTCAAAAAGGATGTTGTTGAATCAATTGTATTGCTTTTAAAATAAAAAAAATCCTTTTGACCGTTTATTTTATAGTTGGACTATGTTGTACAAAGAGCAAATTTAGCATTCTGGTGCAGTGTTTTCGATAGTGTTTACCTTCCCATACTTTCAGGTGAAGTGAAAATGACAGGACCATATTTCTTCCTGAGGAAATATAGAGTGGAAATATGGATTGTTCTCAAATACAACCCGGCTATTTCTGGACGTTAAAAGGGTAACAAATCTCTGATCTACAGCCGTTCAATAGCTTGTCACATTGTCTGTTTGCTGCTCTCTCCCTATGTTGGAATAGTTGGTCCCCCCCCCAGGTTATTTATTTCCCCATACTGACATCAGGGAAGGGCCACAGTTTGGTTCTACCGGTCACAACAAAGTTACGGTATGGTGTTTAACTGAGGCCAATCGGAATTTCATTACAGCATCCTTACAGCTGTTTTTGTGATAACCTGTCCAGCTACTGTAAAGAACCACTCTGTGAGCTCCAGGTTTTTTGAGGAGCTTTAATTTTCCAGTCATGCTTGGGTAAGCAATGCTTGGTGTATTTTCTGTGTCCAACTTGGGCTATTTTGAAAATGCTTGTGGAAGTGATAAAGTCTTAGGTGGCAGTTTTGTGGACTACTTTGAGTTCTTTATCTTTGTCACCAAAAAGATTTAGTTGAAGTAGAAGTATAAAACTGCAAAGTCAGCCGAGTAGCGATTGCACAGCTACACTGCTGGTGATTCCTGTAGTCACGTCATGCTGGTGTTTTTGAAAGCTGGCACAAGTTATGAGACTTCATTATATTCAGAATTCTTCAACAAAAAATAAGAATATGGAGTCCAGGAAACATTTTAGAACTTTTTTTTTTCTTTTACTTTAACAACTTTCTATAGAAAAAATAGTCCCTATGGTAACTGTAGAAAGTGAGGTCTGTAGATTATCTTCAGGGACAGTATTATTATTATTAATCAGGAAACACATCTTTAATTAATTCCAAATAATTTGTCTGTTGTAGCTAGACACTGAAATAAACAATATAGAATGTAAATTGTTTTAAAAATTAGCTTTGCAAATGTTTTACGAGGAAAGAAAATGTATTTAGCACTTTTTAGACGTCCCAGTTTACACGCATTTTGTTAAGAAACATTTAATCTAAATATAACGTGTCTTTATTTGCAAGAAAACCCCACGTGGCAGTTACTCTTGAAATAATTGTGAAATGTTTTTTAAATTGATAAGAGAGGAGCTGGATTAGTTCTTTTATTCTATTCTATGTAGTTAAATAGTCACTAGTGTCTGTGTGCATACAAGTATATAATCAAAGCAGGGGCAGAATAATTATTTCAAATGAACAAGTAACAACTCCAAAGGTCTACAGAGGTCTAAAATTTTAAATTGGGGTTAAGGTATCATTGAGTGAGTTTAGATTATTGTAGGCCTGTGTGGGGTGGCTGTTGAGTTAAGATGTTCATTAAGATCAAGTAATTGATTAGTTAAAAAAGTAATTACATTCATTTCTTTTGGCATGTATGCTCTTCTTTTGAAAAGTGAGGAAACCATACAGCCACACTCTTGCTTTCACGCTGTGCATCTCCCTCATGTTTTTCTTCCCCTCAGCATTTCTAACTTGAAATAGCAGGCAATTTATATGCAATGAAGCATCATTACATGAAAATGAATTTGATAGATGAGAGATGTGTTCCTGAATGCAAGATTGGGTTTGAAGGTCTGTTTTGCACCTCAATAATGAAGCTCTTGTTTTGTATGTGCAGTCACTTATTGACAAGACTAACAATAGTAATGGAAGGGCGAGTGCAACTGGCAGCACCTTTTTATTTAGGAATGAATTTGAAGGTCACCTATTTATTTAATCTGCAGTCTGATTGGCTTTTCATGGTGTTGTTGCTATGGTTCTGCTGGCTTGGATTGATTTTAAAGCAAAATTCACTTTGGTTGAAAATGTAGCATCCACATTTTGGTATGCAGAGTTAGGAACAAGACTCAGTAGATCCTCAGGCTTGTGGATTTTCTGGGGCTGACTCATTCACTAGTAGAAGTTTATATGTACAGTGAATACACAGATAAACCAGGCAAACTTTCTGCTAGTGCTGGAAGAAGTAATCAGATCTTTTTACTCAAGTAAAAGTACTACCACACTGTGAAAATATTCCACTACAAGAAAGAGTCATGCATTCAAAACCTTACTGAGGTAGAAGTATGCAAGTAGTATCACAAAATCTACTTAAAGTATCAAAAGTAAATGTACTCATTGGTCAAATGGTCCATTTCAGCGTTTTACTATAACATAGGATGTTTTTGGATGAATAATTCTGCTGTATTAATGTGTAAGCTTCATTTTACTGTTGGACTAATTTTAACAACTTTATATGCTATCAGGTAGATTAATCATAATAAATCATCATTATGTGTTTGTTGTATTGCTGTCTATATCTCTATCCCATAAAAAAACAGTTTATTTATCTTAAGGAGTAGCAGAATTTTCTCAACCCATAAAAGAACATTTAATTCTTCAGTTTATCAGAAAAGTTCAAATTAAAAATTGCCAAATTTAGAGATACATGGTTTTCAGGGCAGGTAAAGAAAAAAGCTGTCAGACAAATAGTGAAGTAAAAAGTACAATATTTGCCTCTGAAATTTAATGGAGTAGAAGTATAAAGTTATATCAAATGGAAATACTCAAGTTAAGTAAAAATTTAAGGTATTTTGTACTTTCTTAAGTACTTTTACTCAAGTACTGTACTTCATTCCACGACAGCCTTTTGCCTATATATTTTATCTCTTCAGAGGTAATACTGTATACTGTGGAGGACTTAATCCCTATACACGTTCATGTTTCATTTCTCAGAAGAGCTACATGCATAAGTGGAACAAGTCATTTCACAAGAGGTTATTTTGATGCCTGTGCTGCATAGCATAACTAACTGCATTGAAAAATGTTCCTTTCCACACCCACGTTTTCAGAAGAAAAGATGTACTCAGTCAAGGTTTTTCAAAAGAGACATGCCCTCCTTTCCTGCTCGGTGAATAGCCTTTGTGGAGTGTGCTGGTTTCAAAGGCACATGAAGGCCTCCTCCCACACGGAGAGCTCCGCTGCGGACAAAGCAGAAGGACGCCCCACACTCGTTACCTTCACTTCACACCTAAAACGACAAAGTCAAGTAATAGTTTCTCAACTAAAGTGGTACTTATATTATAAGTCCAATTAACATCACATGTAGTCATGCCCTTGGTGTAGTCAAAAATAAAGTTTTTTTAAATGTATTCTTAATAGTTGTGTATTTTTAAATGGAAGAAACATTAGAAATGCTCTTTGGTCTCAGTCAGCTGGCATGGCGGTGTTACATCGTAGGGAATAAGAGATAACATAGACAGAAGTTCTGCTTTGGTCTACATTTCGTGGTCAGACAGTGTGTTAGTGGTCTTAAAGTCTTTTAAAGCCAAAGATCTAAAATATAAATATAAAAAAATCAATTTTGTATTCAATTTAATGAAAGTTATCTCAGTGAAACAAGCCTGTGTTTCTCACTAAATTGAAAGTGCAACTAACTTACTTACTTAAGTCAATATAAAAAGGTAAATTTTTTGTGCTGGTTAGGCGGCTGCAAAATTATTTCAAAGAGGGTACATTATTAAAAACAAGTGAGAACCACTGCTGTAGCAGACGAAACAAATGCTATTTAATTTCAGTTTGACTTTAAGACAAACTTTGATGTAGCATATGTCAGCCTTACTTCGTTATAAAAAATCATGCCAAATAGTTCAAATGCATTTTCAGTCACGCAGGAACCTTACCTAAATCACTGAAAAACAACATTTTATCACTCGTAGTATCTAATAATGCATAATCTGGCAGGAAGAAGTACTTAGATCCTTGTAAATGTATTGTAAATAAATACCACAGTGCAAAAATACTGTGGTAAGTAAAAGTCCTGCATTCAAACTTTACTTATGTAAAAGTACAGAAGCAAAATGCACTTAAATATCTCAAGTAAAAGTTCTTATTCTGCAAAATGTCTTGTTTCAAAGTTTTATTTTATTATATAATATATTGTTGTATATATTGTTTAATTACATAATTGCATTTCTGTTGCTGCTGCATTAACATGGATACAGCATTTTATTGTTGTAGCTGATTGTTGGATCATCTGACATCATGTGAAACACCCTCTCCAACATCAGAAATTGGCAGGAGCCTCGTCCGACAATTTTTTGTAACTTTCTGAAACTGTCAGTCACCATTTTCTACAACGACTGGCCAGATGTTGAGGCGTGAGAGTTAGACAGGGTTTTAACTGTTGTCATCTTCACACAACTATTGTCTGTCATTTCTTGTGTGTTCAACGTAGTGCAGCACTATTAAGGAGACTGACGCGTCCACTCTTATCCCCACTTGTAGGCATCGTGGTGTCGACACTACAAAGGCATACAAAAGACAGAGTTCTTGGAGAAAGATCAGAGAGGCTATAATGGCAGGCTTTTTGTTCCACCTTCGAGCTGGGTCATTGAGAACAGGTATAAACACTTAAGCCTTTAAGCAAGGTCAGACAACACGTTATGCAACCTACATGGCTTCAAGCAGACTAAACCATTACTCTCTGTAATAGCAATGGCACTGAACCCAGCTTGCAGACGTTAAAAACATGGGCTGCAGAATCATACAACATGAGTATATTTGCACTAGGCTTGACCCTGAATTGACTGAAAACCATTTAAAAAACGTCAGGCTTCAAGATTTTCATGCTATTCAGCACAATCAACAGCTTGCCAAACTCAGACACCAGGCTTTGTATTTGCGGAGGAGTAAGGTAGTTTTTTTTGACAAGTAGTGGTGTGTTTCTTTCTGCCGATGATGAATTTAAGTTTTTTTTTTTTCCCCCCTCAAAGTCCTGCCATAGGGGCATACGTGGGTGGAGCCAGGAACCCCTTATTTGGTCATGTGCTGTGACAGCGCAGGTTCTCCTGAGGAATCCTGTCTTGTTTTCTACACATTTCCTTGGAGTAGACTTCTGTTACCGGGCAACCTGACAGTGACGGAGTCTGATCATCTGTTCCCGCCTCCACCCGTCATGCCTTTACATTTCTCATGTTCCAGCCACTTGCTTCATGTCTTCTGAAATGTCAAGCATGCATAAATAATGGAGAAATGATGGAGGAAAGCATGTTGTGTCACATGTTGCTGCACATTAAAACACAGTAGTGATGTGGAGAAATGTTGAATTATCAGCCTTTTAATGGTTTATCATCTCTATTCTTGTGCTTCCACCATACAGTTTTCTACTTATAATCATTGATTTTCAAATGTGAAGCACTTGAACACATTTTTTAATTAGCTCTTTTTTTTTTGTTTGCGTTTCGTAATGATGTTGATACCCAGAGACTCATTTTTAACCTAAGATCAATTCATTTCCATGTTCATTTTCCTTGCTGCTCTAGATAGTTAGATACCAACAGTGTACCATAATGGAGCCTAATTTGTATGAGGCTCATTAACTGTAGCTGTTGCTTAAAAATTATGCTCGGTTTACAAATTGCTCAGTCATTAAGTCTGCAGAGTTATGGGTTGACAAAACTGCAAACTACTCATGAAACCCACAGTGTCACCCTTGTTCCATAAAAGCAGCTTTAATGTTTATCTGCAGCAAATCTTCCATATTATTAATTTTTTATTGGGGGGATTGGGTGTCTCTGCAGAGATACAAGGCCGGAAGGTGTGATGACATCCTCAAGTGGAAGCCCCCCAATCTGAACTCTGTGGACTTTCGCCTCAAGATCACCAAAGTCGGAGGAGAAGGGTAAGTCGCTGTTGCCTGGGAAACGCTCTGCCTGATGAATCTAATAGCACCTATCATTTTGTGACACACTGGAGTACTTGGAGACATCCGCGCACACACCCCTAAACGTGTACAGTTGCTGTGTGTGTTGGTGTCAGAAGCATGCTTTGAACCAAAGAAATCCATTGAATTGCTTTGACATTAATCTTTTCTTTACCAACCTGTCTTTCTCCCACATTTCCTTTTCCTTTTTTTTTTTTTTGCCTTGGGGTTTAATTCGTCTTACAGTAACGTTGCAACAGTGTGCAAAAGTTCATTCCTTTCCCCATAATCACTTCCATGCAATTTTGTGTCCAATCACAGAAGTGGTTTATATGCTGTGAGTGCCTGTATGTTTAAAGAAATACCCAACTGCCCTTCCCCTTTTCTCTCATTTTATGCGTTTTATCTTCGGCAGCATAAATTATTCAGACCTACTGATGCTCATCCTAGACCTGATCCTTGTAAACATTAGAACTCATTAGAACAATTCTATACTAGAAAAGACAACATATTCCTGCAGGTTGGACAGGGTGGACTACGATGACATTTTGTACGGACATTCCTGTTCCCCAGAAGATGAATCCTACAAACTTTGGTGACCTCTTGACATTTTCTCTTCTCTCTGGTTAACATCTTTGGTTTTTACTTGAATGTCTCAAAATAACAATTGGATGGATTGCCATGAAATTTGGTGCAGATGGTCATTGTTAACCTTTGCGAAGCAGCTGGACTTAGAAGTTCACAAAATCTAAGTATTACATGAGAATCCATCTTGAAAGGCTTCAATGTATGCGCTTGTGGCTGGTACAGTGGTAATAGACCAATCAGTGTCCTTTGAAGGACCTATCCATGGTAGGGATAGGTGTTGGTCAGATTTTAACCTGTACCACTACTACCACTACTGCCTATCGTTCTGGTACTTTTGTGTTTGTTTTTTCCAAGAGTGACCTGAATGACCCAAATCTGTTCTCAATGTTAAAGGTGTTTTTACTCCTACGTTATATCGTTTGTTGAACTGATTGAAGTTTGCTTGTGATAGATAGTAATAGACAGATGATTCATCTAATCACTTGCCTATACTTAAAAGTGCATGCCATTATCCCATATGGTCCTCTTACCAACCACCTGGCAAAGTCGGGTTATTTGATGGTACACAGAGGAAGAATTTTTCCTCCAGAACCACCAAAAGGTCAAATGTAAAGTTTTTACTTATCTGGTGAAATATCACAACTATTGGATAGATTCCCATAATATTTGGTACAGATATTTATCTTTCCAGGAGGATAAATTGTAACTTCAATGATCCCTTTTCATCTAACATCAGGTCAAAATGTGTCCAACACTGTAATGTATGAACTACCTGCAAAATGGAAAAAACATTCCCATCAGCCTCAGTTGTACTTTGTGTTAAGTGCTCATTAGCAAATTTTAGCATGCTGACACGCTAAACTAAAATAAAAAAAAAACATTGTAAGCATTACACTTTCTAAACATCAACATGTAAGCGTTGTAATCGTGAGCATGCTGACATTCAAATTTAGCTCAAAGCACTACACTGTGTATAAGTACAATTTCAGGGAGCCGCTAGCATGACTGAAGACTTATATTCTTTTTTTTCTGTCAGCGCATCACAATGCGCATCTCTTTGCTTTGTGTGCGTTTCTTCAACTGAGTGTGTGACTATTGTCTGAGGGCAGGCAAACAGACCCATAGCAGTGCGCTTTCTGGTCATGCTGCCTTTTCCTCTGAGAGCCAGGTGACCTTAGTGACTGTTCCAGCTTTGTAGCCATGAGCTTGCCACTCTTCACCAACAACAGACTGAAAGCAGCACAGCAGGGTACAGTCACTCATTCTACTCCAAAGCCGGCCAGCAGGCCAGCTAGTCGGCTTCTTGACTGCTCCCTATGTGTGGGAGGACACAGACGAATATTGTTGCCATTTGAGAATGTTCTGATATTTCCCCAAAAGATGCATTTTGCTGGCATATAAGCACTCATCAGACCTCACTCAGTCTTGGTGTAGGTTTTCAAATCTCTCCTTAGTTACTGTCTGAGAGGGAGAGAGAGAGAGGCAGAGATGGACAGATATGTTAGGAGGTAACAACTGTTTATTCATCAGCCCACACAATCAATCCTTGAGCATGTCTTTGTGTACCACTGAGGCAAACAGCCTGGCAAGTTTTATTACCTTCTCTGAAAGCAAGCACAGAGGCAGACAGTGATTATTGTGTGGCAGGAAGAGTGGTGAGGTGGAAAAGAACAAAATGGAAAGATGAAGCAATTCCAGAAAGCATGCCAACGCCCCTCCCAAGTGTGGAATTGAACAGTCTCGAGCATTGTATAGATTGCTTAAATTATGGATAATTTGAAACCAGCATTCTGTCTGAAGAGGCCATGACTAATGGTTACATCATCATTCATTAGCTGTGGAGTGAGTTTGAAGTCCCAGAAAAGGAGAATAGTACTGTCTGACTGGCATGGATTGGGTCCCTAGAGGCCAGCGTCCAGGCTTCTTGTTACTGGTCTTTCTACTCTGTGGACTCGAGTGTCATTACAGCATCCCAAACCATATTTTGTGTAAAGGATCCACTGTCAAGACAAAGCAGTCAAGTGCTCTCACTTGTGGCTGATGATGTAAAAGCATCAAAGTGAAGTTAATAACATGTGACATAACAGTGCATGTATTACTGTGTGAATTAATCTTATATGCAACATTTAACCTCCAGAGCCACTGTGACGTTGACATTCGAACCATCATGAAGAAACTGCATGGTGTCAGGAAGTGTGATTTTTAGTAGCAGTATTTCTGCAGTGTTAATTGTAAGATGCAAACAATCGTTATATAGACCATTTTTAGAAGCTGCGAGGAAGGATTTGGGTAGCAAAGACGTTCACTGCAGTGTAATTCAGAGCAGGTGAATGTGAAATGTCGAGAAAGTCGCTGCGTTTCAGCCATCAGAACAAACATGGAGCCTGTCTTTGGACTCTGAATCCCTGTGATATGGTTTTCTCTGTATGGACATAAAGATTTCTTGAATTGGTACCCTGAGGGACCCGGTTGTATCCAGTTGGCATGTTGTCACAGGAAGTGTGTTGCCTGAATTCCAGCACGCACATATTGTCAAGTTTAATGCCTAAGTGTTGAACTAACTTGTTCAGTAACTTTTTTTGGCCCATGTTTGGCATGACTCAAACAGTAGGACATGCTGCATTTATCATTTTCAGCTGCTAATCTCTCATCGAGATGGTATGTGTGGGATTGACTTAAAATAAACTACAGTGTCCATGTACAGGAAGGAACATGTCACCAAGTGCAAAAATGTGGTTTATTGTTGGGTTTTTAAAGCTGGGATAGGTAACGTTAGAGAAACTAGGAAGAGACGGCTAGATTTTGAAAGCATACAGCCAAGTGTGAACCTATGGCGACGTCACCCATTGGTTTGTGTGTTTTGAAGCCTCGAGTTTGGCATAATGGCCATAGTCTCGATGGGTTTCGGACCCAGCAGCGGTGACATACTGCGGGTTGAGTAGCCCTCATTGGCTGCGCTTAGTTTTCGACTCGACTGTATCAGGAACCAATTCCAGCTTCCCTGGTCCCACGTGTTCTTGTATTACAGATTAAATGTGTTTCTGAAAAGATTTTAAGTGAGAAAAAGGCAATGCAGAATCCTGATTCATATTTGAACAGCACAGCCTAGTTTGAATGTTTTAATGTAGAGAAGAAAAAAGAGTGCAGCACAGCTCCGATACATCCCCAGGTGTGTGAGGCAGTTTGGCAGTATATAATACACCTTCTTTTTCACATATTTTAGATTATATTTCTTCCCTCAGACCAGGTTATAAAGGTTTTTCAATATTTCATCACTTGAGACCTTGGCCATGCTTTCTTCACATATTCATTGTTTTAGTTGTTCAGGTTTGGCTTTACATTTTTTTTTTTGCTTCTCTGAATTTATAAATAATTCGACCATATTGTTCCAGCTGTTACAAGTAATAGGTAATACAAGTATGATTTCATGCTGTTCAAAGGTTACGCTGACATTTCACAGCTTCTTGATTGCTTCACAAAAACTCCTGACTTGTGTTGGAGGCTATTTTTATTGGTGTCACTTGTTGTTATGGTGCCTCAATTTTGTATTCATCTGAAAATAAAGAATAAAATAATACATTGTGTAATTTAAACCAGCAGGACTCTCAACATAAAGTTAGAATCATGAAACCGCTTGTAAACAACAACAACAGTCTGTTCTTATAGGGCACTCTGATGTGTACTCTCACCTGGTTCCTCATCTGTTCCATTGCATCTCACTGAAAAGAAAATCTTATTGATATCTTACTGTTTTAGAAAATTGTGTCATGATCAGTACTCTTTTCTGGTTGTGGTATTTGACACACAGCACGTGTAAGTCAGAGGTATTAATAGAACCACTGACGAGAATGGACTTTGTTTTGTGAGGACTTGGCACGTAAGAGTGTCCATTACTTCATGGCTATTTGGCTCCCTTAATGTCTACTGCTGCTTCCTTCCTGCTTGTGCCAGCTATCATTACACAGGAGGGGGCTGGGGTGGACGGGAAGAAGGTCTCCAACTTGAAATCTCTGTATGGGGGGCATCAGACTACGTAGCCACACTGTTGTTTAGCTGTCAGTTTAGCCACGTAGCCTCGCTCATTTACGTTCTAAAAATGGTTGACTAATATGAAACCAGTGCCTATGTCCCATGGCACATGGGGTTGTTTTTGGTGGAGGGGGGGGTAAGGTGTG